GCAGAGACCTGAAGAATCCACAAAGTTGAAGCTGATAATAATTAAGTCTGTAGGAAAAGAATTAGGCTAATGGAATACACTCATGTTGACTTTTGTTTTCTTTGACAAATCCTAAGTGACAGCATCTTCTTCCAGCAAAGGAGACATTGTTAGAAAAGCACTGAAGTACAAATGAATTCTTACTTGGAGCTCACCTCGGGGACAGAATCTGCCTTTTCTCAGAGAAAATAAATGCCTGGGTTTGTTAGAGCGATGTGTGGGTGAGCTGAAAAGCGGGAACTCAGATCACAGCATGCTAGACTTTTATGGCCAGTACCAAGGTGACAGCCACCTGGAGATGTGGATGCAAGAGCTGATAAGGCAGTAAATAAGGGCCTGAGTTCAAGGAGGACAGAGGAGAGGAAATGGTGTCAAGAGGTTTTGCAATAGGGAATCCAGGAAGAGGAGTAGGGGCCGGCTCAGGGCTTACAGTTCACATAAGAGGATGAATAATGACATCACAGATTCCACAGAACCACAGGAGATTAGAGAAGAGAGGAGGAGTGGGCCAGTTATATATTCATTTGGATCTGATGAGTTCGAAGCATTCAGGTAAGGCTGTCTAGGAGGAAGCTAAACATTAGAAACATGCTACCTTCCAGAAAGATCCACTGGATAGGAGCTGGAAAGAAAGGAATATTCTGTTGTCTGGCCTGTATACAGGAACAGCAGAGAAGAGTTGATGGGATGGCTCAGTGGTTGGGAGTACTTGCTTTTACAGAGAGCCCAGCTTTGGTTCTTAGAACCAATACCAGGTAGCTCACAACTGACTGTAACTCCAGTTCCAAGGGATCCAAAGCCGCCTTCTACCTCTGAGGGCACTGTCTGAATGTGATGTGTATACAGATGACCACACACATGAACTCTCTCTCTCTCTCTCTCTCTCTCTCTCTCTCTCTCTCTCTCTCTCTCTCTCTCACACACACACACACACACACAGAGTAGAGGAGGGTTGATCCTAAGTAGAAGTTGGAGATGAAATTAATTATTTACATGTGGATTCATATGTGCACATGTGTGCTTACCCACACATGCATACCTACCAGTGTGAGCCCTCCTGCAGGCCAGCAGTCACCTCCAAGTGTCTTCCTCAATCACGTTCTCTATTGAGTCCCTCAATGACCTGATATTTGCCATTTCAGCTGAGTCCGCAAGAACCCCTCTGTCTGCCCCTCTTCCCAGAGCTCAGTCATATGGGGCTTTTACCTGGGTGCTGCAGTCTGAACTCAGGTCTCCATGCTTGCTCAGCAAGCTGTTTACCCACTGAGCTACCCCACCAGCCCAAGTTATTTTTCTGAAACACAGTCTCGCACTGCAGCTCAGAATGGCCTTCATCTCAAAGCAATCCTCCTGCCTTAGCTTCCCCAGTGCTATAATCACAGGTGTGAACTACCACACTCACAATGGGGATTTTCGTATCATGAATATTCCCTGAGATGCTTGCTAAGGCCAACTGAAAGTCCCGTTGGCAGGAGAGCAGGTCAATGGTGGACACATGCAGCCCTTGGCCAGTCTGCTTTCCAGTTCTCTCTACTGCTAGCACCTACTGATTATTTCCAGCTTCCTTGTCACTGGGTTTAGGCAGAGAAAACAGCCTGGGGGTGACGTGGGAAGGTTGCACACATCCTAAGGGACCTCAAAACTCAATGCTTTGCAACTGGGGTTTGAGTCTCCAAAACTTACAGACAACTGGGGTCTGTTCAGATGCTTGGAAAACGCCCAGTGCTTTTGGTCCTCTTTAATAATGTTGACACGAAAAATCAGGAAAAGAAACAGTGTTTAAAGAACTCAGCCCGGTTTTAAAGTGTAAATGACTTGGTGTATATGTACGTTAGAATGTTCATATGTGTGCGGGTGCACATGCATGTGTGTGTGGGACCAGTGGTCACCTTCCAGCACCATTCCTCAGGAGCCTCCCACCTTGGTTTTTGAAACCAGTCTGGAAATCATCAAGTAGGTTGCTTGGCTGGCTGGCCGGGGATCCCAGGGATTCTCCTGTGTCTTCCTCTGTACTGCTAGGCTTACAGGCACCTGCTACCAAGCTCAGCTTTTTTACAAGAGTTCTGGAGATCTAACTCAGGTCCTGTAAGCTTTATTGACCAAGCCATCTCCTCAACCACACACATTTTTTTTTTCCTTTGAGACAGATCACACTGTGTAACCGTGGACAGTCTAAAACCTTGGTAGAACAGATTGGCCTTGAACCCACAGAGACTCACTTGCTTCTGCCTCCCCAGTGCTGGGATTAAATGCATGCACCCTCATGCCCCAAGAAAATATTTTCTTTTAGAAATGAAATAATTTATTAATTGTTTATTTTTTGGTACAATAAAAGTAATGTTATATTGGGGTAAGTTTACCCCATTCTAGGGTGGGGGCCAATTTCATAGCTTATAGTTTAAAGCATATTAAATGGTAATTTGGAGTTCAGGTTGTTCATCGAATAGCTCTTGAACACTTTAAATCTTATTCTACACAGCCATGTCAGAGCTGTGAAGCTTCTATAAATAACTATGGCTCTCTATCTACCACTTAGGTTTTTTAATAACATTGTTAAGGTACTTGAAAGACTGACAGTTTGGACATCTATCTATGTGGCATTAAACTGCAAGTTGGTCAAACTTACACTTTGCTCATCAATGTCTGAAGACTTTTGTACTAGAAGAGCCCCTTTGGGAAAATTTCCCTCCAGATTGGAAACTGGAAAGTTGCTGGAATAGTTATTGCAAAAAGAATAACAATACACAGATTTCTAGTACATATGTTAGCAATTGTGCACAGATTGGGCTGGCGAGATGGCTCAATGAGGCTAGTGTTTGCTATGCGGAACATGCATGACAGCCTGAGGTTGACCCTTAGAATACTTGACTTCTGTCCTCTGACCATATATGCACTGTGACATGCAAACACACATGCACACACATACTGACAATAATGACAATAATAATAAACTGCATGCACTGAAATGCCTTTGTACCAACTCTCAGCACAAACAATAAAATCTCAATTATGGAGAGAGGAAAAAAAAAAGCTGTAGCAAGAAAAAAAAAAAAAAAAAAAAAAAAGCTGTAGCAAGGAGGGAGTACCTAACATGTGGGCAAGTGTAAACCTCTACCTACGATTATAGGTTAATGAACCAACTCTTGCCTAATCTCACCTCCTCCCTCACTGGAATTATTAGTCTTTGTTTTATAAGGTTATTTCCCATTCGTCTGAGACCCCATTAGGGAGGATATAGCACTGAAATCATTCCCATCCGTAATGGAAATAGCTGAGATTAGCTCTGATATCCTTGCAGCTGTTAAGCAAATCAAAAAAGCATTAACTGCAAGTTGAAATTTACTCCACCAGCTGAGGTAAAGAAGCACTCCAGCCTGTTAAATGGGCCCTTTAGCTCTTTGCTTGAGACTTGCTGAAGGCTGTTCATGGAGTCAGGACCATCAAGTCTAGAACCACAGCCTTGAACCTATTCTTCAGGGAGAAATGAGCTGCAAGCCCTTTGCATGCTACTCCTGATTTCTGTGAGTGTGTTTAAGAGGAGCAGGGCCTGTAGACTTTGCAAAGTGGGCATTTTTATTTGAAAACAGAGGTATGTAGTGTAGTTGTTAGCAAGCTCAAGGTCCTGGGTTCAACCCTCTGTACCAGAAGAAAAACCTAAAGCAAACCTAGCCCTTCCTACCTCTGCAGTAGTGTTGATGGCTCTGCTGCTATCTGCTCAGTGATATTGTGCCTGGGGGGCTCTAGCTCCTGGCTTTGCTGCTCAATTACATTTTGAGCCTCCTCTGGTCCTATAGCCATTTGCAAACAGATGTGATCAGTCCTGGGGTCTTCAGAAAACAGGGCAAATGTTATTCTTAAAAGTTCTTTATCGGGGCAGGGAAGATGGTTTAGCCGGTTAAAAGTGCTGGTCAAGCCTAATGACTAAAGTTTGGTCCCTGGAAACTACATAAAGGTGGAAGAAATGAATCTATTCCAAAAGAGTTGTCCTCTAACTTCCACATGCATGCAGTGGTATGTGTGTCCACACATATACACCAAGAACACACATACAACAATAATAAAGTTAAAAAATGTGTCACACGAGGCAGAGGAGATGACTCCAGTCAGCAAAGTGCTTGCTTTGCAAGTACGAAGACCTAAGTTTGAACTCCAAAACTGGGGTTTTAAAAAATCCACACACATGGTGGCACATTTTTGTAATTCAACACTGGGGGGCAGAGACAGATGGCTCCCTGGGGCTTGCTGGCTAGTCAGCCTGGCCTACTTTGCAAATCACAGCACACTGAGAGACTATATCTTAAGTAAAAGGTGAACAATGCCTAAGGAATGACATATGAGGCTGTTTTCTGGGTTCTATACGCACATGCATACATGTAAACACACACACACACACACACAGGGGACATGAACGCTGGTCTTCATGCTTCAGCTGCAAGCGCTTCAACCACTGAGCCACCTCTTCAGCCCTCTGACATCTTTTGATACTTTATCCTTCCTTGTCAGACAAACATTTCAATCAACCCTATTTGCAATAAATCTGTATAGTTCAGTGGACTCTGGTGGCACTTAGGACAGAAGCAATGACTGCAGAGGCTTCTTATGGAGCTTCAAGTGCCACTAAAACAAATACGAGGACTTGTGACACAGTACAAGCCTCAGTTTACTGTGAGATATATGACTCTCTCTCTCTCTCTCTCCACTCCCCATAAAATGTTTTTTTTTTTTCATTCCACACACGCACCCTCACACAAGTGTGCAAACCTGTGGCCAGTGCACACACTGATGGGCCCAGAACAGTCATACCTGAGTGTCCATCTTCTTGGAATGTAGCTGTGTCTTTATCTTATCCCTAACTGCAGACCAAGAGATACTTGATCTCCCTTTTCCTTCGAGTCTCTTCTTCCTTCCAGACTTTTCTGATAAAGAACAGAAACCAAAGCAGGAATTCCAGGAGGACCTACCTGACACAGAAGTACAGAACCACGGGCCCAGACTTTTTGGGGAAGTCATGCTCCAGTACTCTTCGATCCAGTTGAAGCCAGTTCAAGTGTCCCCTAGAGAAAGGAGAGGCACCTGGTTAGGTTGTTGGACTGCACAGGTGTTTGGAGATGAGGGTCTCCATGGAGCAGAGCCCACTGGGTCATAGGCACACAGGGGATCTTGACTCCATCCTAGTATTTCAGAATTGGAGGAACACTGAGGAATTATCTGGGGGAAAGACCTCCTGAGAGAACTGTTGTTTGGTGGGGACAGGACATGATCATGGAGTCATGATGATAGAACTGTCTGCTTCCTATAACCACAGGTCTCTCTCTAGGCCTCAGTTCCCTTTCTACTTCTCAGGGGTATGTGCTTTTCTTATAGTACTCAGAACACACCAATGACATGCTAACAATCCTCACATTTTCCTACTGGAAGCAGTTGGGATGCCACACGAACCATACTTTTTTATATTTTTGGCTGTGAGCCTAGCCTTTAATTGCTGAGCCATCTCTTCATTCCGTAAACCACACTTTCTTAAGTGTAAACATTCATAGGGCCAAGCCATTATTCTATTTCTAGGCATGCACCTTTCCTTCCCACAAAAGGAGGCATTTGTCTACACAAAGTCTCTTATACATGAGTTCACAGATAACTATATTTGAAAAGACACTAGAATGGCCCAAACTTAAAATATCCCAGGGTTTACCAGCAGAAGAATGAGTGAATGAATGGACAGCATAGTCCCAAAGCAGAATACTATACAGCAATGAAGAGAAAGAGCTATTGTACACAATTACGTGGATAAACCTAAAAATAATAGAGTTAGCTGGGCGGTGGTGGTGCACACCTTCAATCCCATCATTTGGGAGGCAGAGGCAGACAGATCTCTGTGAGTTTGAGAACAGCCTGGTCTACAAGAGCTAGTTCCAGGACAGCCTCCAAAGCAACAGACAATCCCTGTCTTGAAACACAAACAAACAAACAAAATGAGTTGAATGAAAGGTTTAAAAAATATATAAATGACATGATCCCATTTATGTAAAACTCTGGAAAACACAAGCCAGCCTTCTGTTCCTGAAAACAGACTGAGGGGGCAAGGGTGGTGGCGGTGGTGGTGGTGGTAAGGGATATTGTAGGAGATGGGTCTGTAAGGAAATGTTTTAGAAATGATGGCTATGTTGTTGGCTGAATATTGGCTTGATTAAAAAAATATATGAGGGTCTCACCCCGGCTAGCCTCACACTCACTACATAGTCCAGGATGGCCTTGAATTCCTGATCCTCCTGCCTCCACCTCCCAAATGCTGGGATTACCGTCATATTCCACAATGCCCTGCTTTTGTTTAATATTTATCTAGCAATGAACTGACTAGAGACCAATGTATGGAAATAGCTAGAAGCAAAGAAAGCAAGGAGGTGGGAATAGTCCTAAACCCTGATTCTGCTTCTGGGGGAAAATGACATCTGTCTGTCTATTGTAGCTAGCTTTGAAGCATTAGGCTAGACTGGATGGTGAGCCAGTATCAGGGGTCCTGCTGCTTCTGCCTCCACTGTGCTGGGATTATAAATGCATTATACCATGCCTGCTGCTGAACTTCACAGACTGACCCATTCCTAGAGCCTGAAATTATTATAGATGTGGTTGGGCAGGGGGTGGGACTGGGGGCTCTTCATGTGGGAGAATGTGTAGCCATTTAATATCTTGGATTCCTAAATAAACAAGTTCCTATGGATGGTTCGGGAATACTGACTTATCTAGAGATCCCTACGTACTAGAAAAAGAGTCAAGCAGGGTATGTACTGGGAAAACTATATTACAAACCAAGGCCTGCCAATTCTAGTGGAATCTGGCTTTACTTTTTTATTAATACAAGATTGTTTTCTCCAATATGTTATTGTAAGGCTCTTCTAAAATTTGTTTTTGCATATGTATGCATGAGTATGTACTGCAGGGGTACACACGTGTGTGGTGCAAATGTATCTATGTGTGTGGATATGGGTGTATAGGCCTGAGGTTGATGTCAGGTGTCTTCCTTGAACCCTCCCCCTTTTTTATATTACAGCAGGGTCTCTCACTTGAACCTAGAGCTCAGTGGTTTGTCTAGTTTAGCTAGTTGGCTTGCTTCAAGGATCCTGTCTCTACCTCTTGAGTCCTGAGATTATTGGTGGGCTTTGATGACTGCTCAGCATTTACATGCATTCTGGGGATCTTAACTCTGGTCTCAATGTTTGCACTCCCATGAGCCACCTCTCTATCCTCTTAGATTTGGTTTATAACATCTTCTATATTGTGTGTTGTTAACTATTTCCTAATACAAGTGACAGAGTGACAGGAGCCAAAGGCCAGTTATTTCTGCATCTCCCATGGCTAACAGTAGATGTTAAACGATTTTGTTACTGTTGTTAAGAAAACAAATGCAGGGCTGGAGAGATGGCTCAGAAGTTAAGAACAAAGGCTACTACTCTTCCAGAGGTCCTGAGATCAACTGCCAGCAACCACATGGTGGCTCACAACCATCTATAATGAGATTTGGTGCCCTCTTCTGGCCTGCAGACATACATGCAGGCAGAGCACTATATTTATAATACACAAATAAATCTTAAAAAAGAAGACAAATGCATTAATTTTACAACATGCCCCATTCTCTCTGTGTATGTGTTCTCATGCATGTATGTGAATTCACATGTGTGTGGGTACACATTCATGTGTGTGAAAGTGCATACCCAAAGTTGATGTTGAATGTCTTTCTTCAAGGCCTTCTACTTTATTGAGACAGGATTACTAGTTGAACTCAGAGCTTGCTGATTTCAGCTAATCTAGTTAGCCACCTTGCCCATGGTTCCCCTGCCTCTGCCCGCCAAGCGATGGGCGTAAAGAAAGTCTCCTTGCTTGCCCAGTTTTTACTTGGGTTCTGGGGGATTTCAATTTTGGTTCTCATGCTTGTAGAATAAGCACTTTATCCACTGAGCCATCTCCCCAGCCCTGAAATCTATTTTCTTAGAGATTCAGTGGCTGTCACCAGGTACAGCCAATGCTCCTTCCCCCAGTATGAGGAGTTCATCTGCTCACCTAGCTTAAGACCCAGGCTCTTTGGTACCAGAGGTGTTGGGAGGGTGGGCAGGGAATGAATGATTGATGTGGCCCCTTCTGGAACCACACCACTCTTTTCTATTTATCTTAGCTATGCATATATAAAGTCACACTCCAATACTTCTCTGGTCACTTGACATAAGATGCTGTTGTTTGCTGTGATGTGTGACAGTGGCGTGCTCATCTCAGAGGCTGTCATGATCACTAAATGTCAAGTTCCCAGAAGCAACTATGACAGCTCAGGCACGGTAGGCTGGAGCCACTGACTTCCCCTGTCCTGCCGTCTAGGAGTTAATGAGTGGAAACCCCAAGCCCAGTTCTAAGTAAATTATGTTCCCAGAGTTGCTACTGCTGGTTCTTAGTCCCAAGATAAGAAATTGCCTTTGAACTTGGTTTGTTTTTAAATAGTAGATATACTTGTGGCTTTTGCTAGATACTTTGTGAATGCCTCAGCCAATGCCATGTGCAGACTAGGGCACACTTTATGACCCAACATGCCTGGCAATGGGTCACAGGTGTGCTGCCAATAAGACATTCATTTGTTGAGCTAAATCTAACTCCTGGACCTGTAGCAATCAAGCAAGCACTTCAAATAATTGTGACCCAGGACTAGGACATGGCTTAGTAGATAAAATGCTTGCCACACAAACATGATGACCAAGTTTGATCCATAGCACCCACATAAGAAGGCAGGTATGATGGGGTGCTCCTGTTACCCCAGTTTTGAGGCCAAGATAGCAGGGTCCCTCAAGATTGCTAGATATCCATTCTTGTCTATTTAGTGAGCTTTAGGCCAATAACTTTTGCCTCAAGGTAGGTGGACAATGTTCCTGAGATCACCTCCTGGCTTACACAGGCACACACACACACACACACACACACACACACACACACACACACACACACGAGAGAGAGAGAGAGAGAGAGAGAGAGAGAGAGAGAGAGAGAGAGAGAGAGAGAGAGAGAGAGAACTATGATACAGGAAGCTGAAAACAATAGCCTTTATTGACTGCAGCCTCATGGTGCCCATGATCCTTCTAAACCTTAAGTAAAGCTTTTCCATGTAAATAGTTGTGGAAGAGAAGGAATGTAAGTCCTTAACAAATATCAAAGGGGTCTGTGATAAAATAATAGGGTGAAGGCCCTTCATTTTCTTAACTGGCATGTGAAAGTACATTCTAACTGTACTTGCACAATAATGGCTAACCCATTTTCCCCTCAAACGTCTAAACACTTCTTAAAAGACTTCCCTTTCTTTAAGACATGGGTATTCAATTATACCATCTGATGAGCAATTCACAAGATTGGGGACAGGAGACAGGAACTGAATTGCAGTGACAATCATTACTTCAACTTGCAGTATGTTTGATTGCTCATTTTGGCTGAAGTTATTTTGTGTTTGGCTTTTGAGAGAAGATGCTCTGTCTTCTCTCAGTCATTAACTTAAAAAATTATTATTATGGGGGAATTAAAATAGTAATGCACGTATTTCAAAAATAAAATGTAAAAGATTTAGACTCTCGCTAAACAGATGCCATGTTGGATAAATGAAAATCTTAGTTATGTTGTTTGTCTGTTTAATTTTTTTCTTTGTGGTGCTGTATAGGCCCACAAACTTCAAAATGCTAGGAAAATACTCAAGCTAAACTACTGACCTTCATGTCCTCATTCCTCAGTTTACAGTCTCTATACATATGGGAATACTAAATTTGAACTCAGGAGTTGATTCTTAAACTGTTAGAAATGGTGCCTGAAAGGTAGCCCTTTCACAATGTCTTAGACCCCTGGGATATGTCAGTTGGTATTGGGCCCTGGTAGTCTAAGATCAAGTGGAATTGGTCATTTTTGGATCTGGGTCAAGGGGACAGGAAGAAATTGGCTCCAATATTAGAGGTCCTGAAACAGGACTTTTGAACCTGGCTGTACATCAGAACAAACTTGGGTCTTTGAAGAAAAATAAACACAGCACAAACAAGTCCTG